CAAGCTTGGGGACCCCTGCCCTAGATCATTCCCATATTCATCTATCTATGGTTCTGGGCACTCACAATTACAAAAAGAGATAGAAAGTTAATAAACAGTTCATATGACAACATGTAACCAACATTCCTCCCACATCTTCTCTAGCATGGGTTCAACCTTCATAGCTTGGGAGAAAAACCTGGTCTTTAATAACTTTAATGTCACTGGGAGCCCCAGTTTCATGTAGTGGTTAAGGAACCAGATTAGAAACCAGACAAATATGAGTTCCAGTCTTATAGCCCGCTGAGTGATCTTGGGCCAGTCATTCTCTCTCAGCCCTAGAAGGTAATAGCAACCATTTTAAAAAAAACCTTGCTGAATGAACTGCAGGGCTAGTCCAGCAAGTTAGGAGAAGTAAACAAAATACAACAACATTTATCTTGAAGAGTACCAACACTCAAAAAAGAATTTAATTCAGGACAGCCATGAGAATCTCTGGAGAGAGATAATTCCATAAGGAAAGCTTCAGTGGTGGTATTCTACCGGTTCGGCCTGGTTTGGCTGAACTGGTAGCTCTGAGGATCATCTGTGAGTGAACCAGTTCCCTCCAATAATCAGCTGCTGGGCCTGCCCGCCCTGGCTATCTTCTGACCTTTATTTCCTGATTTGAAGCTCAGCTGCTGCACGTCAGCTGTTGAAGACACAGGGAGAGTGCAGGATTGCAGGAAAAGGGCAGTAGTAAACCCTCTGCGCACCACCACTGGAAAGCTTGGCTTCTTGTCCCATTAGCTGACACGGCTTGATTCATGGGACCTGAAAGGGTGGCTAGCTGATTGATCTCACTGAATATCATCTGATGGTAGAAACCACACGGACCAGTGGTTCCTCAAATAACCAGGCCCTAAGTCAATTACTAGTATATTCAGACAACTATTTTTTAAAATACTAATTCAAAACAACAAGGTGATCCGTCTGTATAGAAATCCAACATAGATGCTGTGCTTTACAACTTAAGTTTTTATTTTTAAAAAACTGACTATCTGGGTCCTATAGCCGTTTTAGAAATATTGAGAAATTTAAGACATACTAAGCAATCTTCCTGAGTCACCGTCTCTTTCCATCTTCCAGTCTGAATAAAGAACTTCACCGTCCTGCAAAATGCCACAAAAATGTAATTAGCAAGGGGAGCAGGAGTTCAGATGAAATATTGGTTACAGAATGTGATCGCCTTTGAAGTTTACAACTTTTGCAAATGGGAAGTATTTCCATCATTATTTTGATGTTTAGATCTTTGCAGTCTGAAATATACCATGATTCAGTACTGATACTTTAAAAATATGCTTTATAATACAATCTTTTTTTAAAGAATTTTTGGCAAGATACTTGTACTTATGTCCAAAATAACAAAGCCTTTAATATATTATATAGAGTGTCTGAAAGCTCAGTTTTCTTAAATCTGATAAAAGGCTTTTTTCATCTTGGATACATCCCCACCAGCTATTTAATGTGCTCCATTATATTGCTGAAACATCACATTTTTAGAATAGTGAATTTTGCTATTGTTTGTTTAAGTGGAAAGCAGCATGAGAAAAAAATTAACAGGGTGATAACCTATTTTAGTTATATTTACAGTACTGTATCATGTTTTTCATGTTCATATGGAAATTCAATCACAATATGTTTTGTGGAAAACATATACAGAGATTGATACTGTGAGATTTATAGCCAGAAATTAGTCAAAGACTTCACAGAAGGGGTAGGCTTGAAAAAAAGAGAGGCCTCTCTTAGTCTTATGTTTTTAAAACATAAACAACATTCTTCTTTATTAATTCTTTGCATTGTGATAATGAAAATGTAGATTACACATACAGCAAAAATTATATCATTTCACAGAATATGAACATATTTGATGCTCAGAATAAAGGCTTTTAAACTTGAATACTCACAAAATGTTTGCACGATATTTCTTATAATTACACACAATAAATACAATTAGCATGGCTAGTCTCTGTTTTCATGCAGAAGGCCTACTGATGGAATTCCAACTATCTAATCTAGTTTACTAAATTAATAGTAGACTAATTACACTAGGCTAACTAAAGTAAACTAAAATTAGGTTTCCTATGAGAGAGGCCAGGTTTCAAAAAGCAGCAAAGGTATTTCAGAAAGAGAGAGTGAAACCATAGCTGTTACAAAGACATCTGTCTTGACAGATCAAAGTGGGGAATCCCCTGCCCACTCCCAAGAAGTGTCAGAAATTGCCTTACTAAAATTCAGCCGTTTTCCTTCAGTTGTTGGTTACTGGAAATGGTAGTAGTCACAAATGGGAGCAGGGAGCAGAGTAAATATGAGCTGAGTGATGGGGTGTGCAGAAGAACACTCTTGCTGTCTACAGCTTATGAGGTGATCCACGTGAATTGCCATCTTCAAACATACCCAGGGGTGGGTTTCTACCGGTTCTGTCCACCTCTGTAGAACCGGTAGCTCTGAAGAGCAGCAGACATAGAACCGGTTCTATGTCTGCTGATGTTTTTGCCCACCTACCCGCCCGGGCTCTTTATTTCCTGATTTTTCAACTTCAGCTGCCAAACGAGGCACAGCTGCAGTTAGAAAAGCAAGAAAAGAGGGCTGTTTCAAAGGCTGCTTCTTTGCAGGCAACTGCTGATGATGATTTACAGGTGCGTGGCTCGCAGCCTGCAGGGAAGCTCGTAAATCCCGAAGTGGTAGTTAACCCTGTCGTATCCCACCCCTGAACATACCCTGCTCATCAGTGTGGCCATGTATTTTGTATGGGGCTGTGGAAGCTCCCACATCATCAGTTTAGTTATGACCAAGTGCCATATATCATGCACATAAAAAGGCTTGTATTTTTTAAAATTTTACTTATTTATTACATTTATGTACTGCCCATCTTATCTAGAAGCAACTCTAGGTGGCTAGAAGTAATTCTGGGCATCAGGTGAGAGGGTGAACAGACCGCACAACGGCACTTGAGTGCTTAAAAAAACATTGCTGCAATTTTACACACAGTGACAACATCTTCAGTAGATCAACCCAACTCTCAGACCCAACCAAAATAATGAGAATGGGGAGATGCAGAATTGATCTTAAACATTGCAAAGGTTCCATGTGGAATGACTATAAGAATCAGATCTGATTGATCTAAAACAATACTGCCCCAGGGTTTTTCATGTGAAATATGTGAATAAGATTCAGTGTGACAAGCTGATCCTTAGTGGGCTGTCAGACTTCTGAACGGAAAATAATAATAAAATAAAATTGTACACATGTTGTACCCTGACAATAAAGGTAATAATAATAATAATAATAATAATAATAATAATAATAATAATAATA